AGCTCCTATCCTAACCCTAACCCGTACCTCTACCCCCCACAGCTCCTTCTGTAGTCCCTCTACCTCTATCTCTATCTCACCACTGACTCTGATCAGGGTTTCTCCTCTGGATAGCTTATTATCATAGTGATGATTAATGTAATATTGTGTCTACTCTGTAAGTCGCTTTTGATAAAAGCGTCTCCCAAATGCATAAACATAAACAGAAGGAAACCCTCCTGGTGGCGGGTTTCCTCCTGGGACCCTCCTGCTGACTCACCTGGGGCCTTCTCTGATTTCTCGTCCGTTTCGGTACCACTTGACTTCGGCCTTCTCTTTGGTCAGCATGCAGCTGAACTCTGCGTCCTCGAACTCGGTGATGGTTTGGTCCTTGAGCTGCACGTTGAAGTCGGTCGGGGCCTCGCTGATGATCAGCTCGGCGGCGGACTTGTTTTCCCCGGCCACGGCGGTGTACTCGCCCTCGTCGGCCAGCGTGCAGTCTTTGATGGTCAGCATGTGCTTGTCTTTGTCCACTCTGTAGACGACGCGCTTGCTGAAGGCAATCTCCTGGCCGCCCTTCATCCATTTGAGAGTGGCGTTGGGTCTGTTGACCTTGCAGGAGAAGCTGATGGTCGTTTTCTCCTGGGTGTCGATGTCCTCCAGAGGAACCACGATCCTCAAACTCTCCTCTGAAAAGGAACAGAACATTAAGCCTCACAGCTCAGACAGAGAGGCAGACCTGTGCTGGCTGGTGTGAAGCACCCACCTTTGATGGAGAGGCTGCAGGAGCTCTTGGCCTGCTCTCCTCTGTGATTGGTCAGGTTGATGCTGTAGTTGGCGCCGTCGTCCTTCTGGGCGTCTTTGATCCTCAGGGAGAAGACGTTGTCTCTCTGCACCATGGTGTACTTGCTGCTCTCGAACAGCGTGTCCTCGTTCTTCAGCCACTTGGCTTTGGCTCCTTCTATGTTCACCTCGCAGTTCAGGACCACCTCCTGGCCCTCTTTGCTCTCAGTGTCCTTCAGAGGAGTGATGATCTTCAGCTTTTCTGTGGGGAAAAACAGCAGAAAGGCCGATGAGGTCATGACTAGGGTTGTATCGATACTCCAAAAAGTATCGATACTAAAATGTTGTATCCGGATACGATACTCATTTTCAAAAGTATCGATACTACCGCGCGAGCGCGTGCGCGACGCTGACCTGCAGTCGCTGCCCCCCTTCTCTCAGATTTATTTATGTATTTTTTGACGTTGTTTATGGTCATTAACAAGTTGTTAGCCTTGAACTGCTAGCTTCGGCTAATGGCTAATAATAACGTGCTACCATTAATCAAGTACATATCCGACTCCGTCCACATTTAAGTCGGCCATTATAGTTACATTAACAATAGGAAGATTCCAGGCAAGAAAATCCTAATTGCCTAATGGCAATATAGAGATTCATTTAAAAATTGTGAAATTAATCTTTCAAACACTTAATTCAACTCTATATATATTATTATGTTAAAATAGTGTATGTTAAATAGGTTTGTACAATAAGTCCAAACAAGTTTAACCAAAAAATATTTATTTCTCACAATTATGAAGGGTTAGGGTTAGGGTTAGGGTTATTAATGCAGGCCACCAGTAATGATAACATTAGCAACAGCTCAGTTTGAAATGAAAGACACAAACCTGTCAAAATTCATTTAAAATTTGGGATCTTTTTTTAATCCTTGTGGTATCGAAAATGGTATCGAGTATCGAGTATTTTCCTGAGTATCGGTATCGAGTTGAAAATTTTAGTATCGTGACAACCCTAGTCATGACCCGGTTCTGACCAGGTCCAGCCGGTGTTTGGAGGCTGAACTTACCGTGCACCGTCAGGTCGGCGCTAGCTCTGGTGGCTCCGATCACCACCACGTAGCCGCCCTCGTCCTTGGGCTCGCACTCCTTGATCACCAGCGTTCTCCTCTTGCCTTCTCGCACCAGCTGGTATTTGTCTCCCTCCTGCAGCTCCCTGTCGTCCTTTATCCATTTGACATCGTAGGTTTCCTTGGACACGGAGCAGGTGAACTCGGCCTTCTGGCCCTCCACCACCTCCTGGTTCTGAGGCCTGGAGATGAACTCGGCAGCCAGCTCTGCAGCACAGACGGGTCTCATCATGAGCGGCTCTTTTATAACCATTCAAAGCCACGGAAACGAGGAAAGGGCGAGAAAGAGTAAGAACCAACCGTTGATCTTCAGGTTCCCGGAGGTCCTGATGCTGGCGCTCAGCCTGCAGTTGTACTCTCCGGCGTCGCTGATCTTCAGGTCCTGGATGACCAGGATCCTCCTCTTGCCGTCCACGATCTGGTCGTAGCGGCCGCCCTCGGGCACCTCCTCGTCTCCTTTGTACCAGCTCACGTCGGCGCTGGGTTTGGACACCTCGCAGATCAGCCTCACGCTGTCCGTCTCCGTGCCCTCCACACTGGACAGGTTCTTGGTGAACCTGGCCTCCTCCTCTGCAGGCAGAAAGGAGTCAGGATAACGGTTAGCTGCTCAGAGTTGTTCAGATCACACACAGGACTCAGAGTGCTCCTGAGAGCCTGTTCTCCTGTGAGGACATTTCTCCCTCTCCTTCTTTTTTCTGACTTTTGACCTCTGGGCCTCATAGCAGACGCTATCAGACACTACTGTTTGAAATCTAAAGGAAAATGCTTTTAGACATTTTCCACCAATCAGGTTCTTGTTTGGACTCTTTGAACCAAATTGCAGATAAAACATTAAATTCAATCTGTAAACAGACATTTAAAATCTAAATATAAACCCACTGAGCCTCTATGAAGAAAAACTACCCGAACCAGGACAAAGTCTGGTTATTAAACTGACCAGCTCTTCCTGATCCAGATATCTGGAACAGAGCAGAAATAAAAGCTTTGGCTCTCAGGAGGATAAACATCTCAGAGTGACTACAGGTGAAATTTCTTTGACTAAAGACCATCATTAAGAAGTGGAGGCTAGGTGAGTTTGTCCCAAAAACACAAAAGCAAACCTGGAGCCAAATAACAACCTGGAGCAGTTTTCCCCTGGGTATCACACACCATAGCACAGCCTGGCGTGTTCAGGTGGATCTATCCAGGGTTCATACCATTTCTGTCCCTTTTTTAGGACATTTGTTACATATTACTCTTATTTTACACCTAAACTAGAACAGAAACCCCGGAGCCCACATGTCCTCCGGTTCTTACCGACGACGGTCAGCATGCCGGAGGACTTGGAGGTCTTGGCGTCACATTCGTATTCAGCCTCATCGTCAAACGCAGACTTGTGCACGATGAGGATGTGTTGGCGGCCTTGAGCGATAATTTCATACTTCTTCCCTTTTCTGATCTCGCTTCCATCCTTGAACCAGCGGACCTGAGGCAGAGGAAGGAGGCGTCTGAGCGCCTGGAGGGGAAAACCCGGCAGAGGGAGGCCCACTCATATAGGCTCAACTCACCTTCACGTCCTCTCTGGACACTTCACACTCAAACCTGGCAGATTCCTTCTCTTTGATCTCCACATCATGCAGGGGCTTGGAGAACTGCACATGGGGAGCTGCAACACAGACACACAGTGTGATCATGTCTGATCCTTCTCACCCTGGTCACAAACTTTTTTAAACTCTCCCCTCTGACAGAAGGTTGAGGACCATCAGGACCAAAACCTCACGCCATAAAGACAGTTTCTATCCGGCAGCAACTGGCCTCATCAACAAGACCAGCGACCCCCACCTATTCCTCTCCCCCCCCCTCTACCTCACTAATATACCCAATGCTTCAGCATTTTCTGGTCTGTTGTTGCAGATCAACATTGCACATTTCAATTGTTCATTTGCACATTCGGATCTATATTTTTAAAGATTGTTCCTTTGTACATTCAGATCTATATTTTTAAAGATTGTATTTTTCAGTTTTATCATTTCTGTCCTATATTTTTATTTCTACATACATTAAACACCAAGGCAAATTCCTTGTAAGTCTAAAAACCTACTTGGCAATAAACCTGATTCTGATTCTGATTCTGATTCAGACCTTCGTGACCCACCCTGCTCTGCCTCGTTTATCCCTGTGGACTGAAGCTCAGACAGAGCTGGGGATGGGGAATTCCCATGCCCACCACTAGAGGGCGCCCCTCTGAGTCTCGGCTGCCGGATATGCTGCACTTACGCTCGACGTTCAGGAAGCAGGAGGTTTTGAAGTCCTTGGCATCGCAGGTGTAGGTTTTGGAGTCGTCCAGGGTGCAGTCGTGGATCAGCAGCACCCTCTTGCGGCCGTCCACGGTGATGTCGTACTTCTTGTTCTTGCGGACCTCCTGTCCGTCTCTGAACCAGCAGACCTCTGCGTTCTCCCTGGAAACTTCACACTCCAGCGTGGCGGTGGCCTCCTCCTCCACCGTCTGGTCCTCCAGAGGCTTTGTGAACTCCACCGGAGACTCTGAGCGCACACAAACAGAGCAGAAACGTCAGGCCATGACTGGGCCAAAGGCTGGAGCCCTAAGGCCAGAGGCTGGAGCCCTAAGGCCAGAGGCTGGAGCCCTAAGGCCAGAGGCTGGAGCCCTAAGGCCAAAGGCTGGAGCCCTAAGGCCA